ACGCTGGAGATTGCATGATAGAATTCTGTAAGACCAACGACTTATTCATCAGAAATACCTTTTTTTAACAACATAAATGGCGACTATACACTTGGAATGCATTGCATTGGGCAAATCTGTTGCAAAAGATCTCTTTAAAGTGTTGAAAAGCAAAGATGTCATCTTGAAGACTAAGGTGTGCCTGACCCAAGCCATGGTATTTTCAATCACCTTATATGCATGTGAAAGCTGGAAGATGAATAAGGAAGACCGAAGAAGAATTGATGTCTTCAAATTGTGGGGTTGGAGAAGAACATTGAATATACCATGGACTGCCAGGAGAATGAACAAATCTGTCCTGGAAGAAGTACAACCAGAATGCTCCTTAGAAGCAAGATGGAGAGACTGTGTCTTACATAATTTGGACATGTTATCAGGAGAGACCAGTCCCTGTAGAAGGACATCATGCTTGGTAAAGTGAAGGATCAGTGAAAAAGAGGAAGACCCTCATGAGAAGGATTGACACAGTGGCTGCAACAATGGGCTCAAGCATAACAACGATTGTGAGGATGGCGCAGGACTGGGCAGTGCTTTATTCAGTTGTACATAGGGTTGCTATGAGTCGGAACTGACTCGATGGCACCTAACAACAACAACATACACATGGGCCTCGCCAGATAGACTACACAGGAATCAAATCGACTACATCTGTGGAAAAAGACAATGGAGAAGCTCAATATCATCAGTCAGAACAAAGCCAGGGGCCAACTACGGAACAGACCATCAATTGGTCACTTACAAGTTCAACTGGAAGCTGAAAAAAAATCAAAACAAGTCCACAAGAACCAAAGTAAAACCTTGAATATATCCCACCTGAATTTAGAGATCATCTCAAGAATAGATTTGACATATTGAACACTAATGACCAAAGACCAGAAGAGTTGTTTGATGACATCAAGGACATCATACATAAAGAAAGTAAAAGGTCATTTCCTAATGATAAAGGGGTCATTTGATCAGAAGGACATAATAATCCTACAGACACCTAGACCAATGGGGTAGAATTGAGAACCCAGAAGTAAATCCAGCCATCTATGGGCAGCTGATCTTCAACAAGGGGTCAGCGTCCATACAGTGGGGAAGAAACCATCTATTTAACAAATGGTACTGACAAAACTGGATATCCATTTGCAGAGAAATAAAACAGGATCCTCCCCTCACACCATACACAAAAACTAACTCAAAATGGATCAAAGACCTAAATGTTAAAGCTAAAACTGTAAACTTCCTGGAAGATAACAATGGGACAAAACTATGAAACCTAATATTTTGCAGAAATATCAAACACAATTACACATGCGCAAACAACAGAGCACAAATTAGATAACTGGGACCTCCTAAAAATTAAATACTTATAAAAGACTTTATCAAAGGAGTAAAAAGAGAACTACAGACTGGGAAAAAATCTTTGGGAATGATGTATCTGATAAGGGTCTAATCTCTAAAATATATGGAAAACTTCAACTCAACAACAGAAAAACAAATAATCTAATCAAGAAATGGGCAAAGGACACGAACAGACACTTCACCAAAGAGGACGTTCAGGTGGCCAACAAACACATGAAAAGATGTTGTCATCAGCCATTTAAAAAAAAAAAAAACATTGCCGTCAAGTCAATTTCAACTCATAATGACTCTGTAGGACAGAGTAGAACTCCCCATAGGGTTTCTAAGGAGCAGCTGGTGGATTCGAACTGCCAACCTTTTAGTTAGCACCTGAGCTCTTAACCACTGCACCACCAGGGCTCCATTAACAACAAAAAATTTGCCTTCCAGTTGATTCCGACTCATAGGGCTTCATTAGAGAGATGCAAATCAAAACTACAATGAGATATCCAACCCCTGCGAAAATAGCACTGACCCAAAAAACAGAAAACAACAAATGCTGGTGAGGTTGTGGGGGAGATCGGAACTCTTATACGCTGCTGGTGGGACTATAAAATGTTACAACCACTATGGAAAGCTGCAGCCACTCCCAGAGGTCTCCTTTCAGTGAAATAAGAGATTGACTCATAAAATAAACAATATCACCTGTGAGTACTGTGCTCCTTTAAATAATCATCTATATGAGACCAAATGGTCAGCATTACCCTAAAGCAAAGATGAAAAGGTAAAGGGGGTTGAGGAGAGCAGGGAAACTAGATTAATGGAAACAGAACAAGCAGAATAAATAGAGAATGCTGACACACTGTGAAAAATGTAACCAATGTTACCGAACAATATGTATAGAAATTGTTAAATGGGAACCTAATTTGCTGTGTAAATTTTCACCAAGAACACAATAAAATATTATTTTAAAAAAAGGACGTAATAATCCTAAATGAGTATGTACTTAATAAGAGGTCTTCCATATACATGAAGCAAAAACTGAGAGAACTGAAAGGAGAAATAGGCAAATCTACAGCTATAGTTGAAGATTTCACACCCCTTTCTCAGTAATTGATATAATAGACAGAAAATCAGTAAGGATATAGAAGAGTTGAACAACACAGTCAATCAACTTGATCTAATTGACATTTATAGAATACCCTGCCCAACAACAGCAGAATTCACATTCTCTTCAAGTGCATATAGAACACTGACCAAGATAAACCATAATCCAGGACATAAAACAAGTCACAATGCATTTTAAAGAATGGAAATCACACAAAGTATGTTCTTTGACCACAACAGAACTAATTAGAAACCAATAGCCAAAAGATATCTGGAAAAAGTCCATAATATTTGAAAATTAAATAATACACTTCTAAATAACTTATGGGTCAAAGAGGAAGTCACATGAGACATTAGAAAATATTTTGAACTAAATGAAAATAAAAGCACAACATATCAAAATTTGTGGGATGCAGTCAAAGTCATGCTTAGAAAGACATTTATAGCATTCTTGTTGTTAGGTGCCATCGAGTTGGTTCTGACTCATAGCGCCCCTACATACAACGGAACGAAACACTGCCTGATGCTGTGCCATCCTCACAATCATTGTTATGTTTGAGCCCATTGTTGCAGCCACTGTGTCAGTCCTTCTCATGAGGGTCTTCCTCTTTTTCACTGACCCTGTACTTTACCAAGCATGATGTCCTTCTACAGGGACTGGTCCCTCCTGATAACATATCCAAAGTACGTGGGACAAAGTATTGCCATCCTGGCTTCTAACGATTATTCTGGCTAAACTTCTTCCAAGATAAATTGGTTCATTCTTCTGGTAGTCCATGGGCTATTCGATATTCTTCACCAACACCATAATTCAAATGCACCAACTCTTCTTCCGTCTTCCTTATTCATTGTCCAGTTTTCACATGCATATGAGCCGATTGAAAATACCGTGGTTTGGATCAGACACACTTCAGTCTTCAAGGTGATATCTTTGCTCTTTAACACTTTAAAGAGGTCTTTTGCGGCAGATTTACCCAAAGCAATACTTTGGTTTCTTGACTGCTGCTTCCATGGGCATTGATTGTGGATCCAAGTAAAATGAAATCCTTGACAACTTCAATATTTTCTCCGTTATCATGAAGTTGTTTATTGGTCCAGTTGTGAGGATTTTGTTTTCTTTATGTTGAGGTGTAATCCTTACTGAAGACTGTGGTCTTTGATCTTCATTAGTAAGTGCTTCAAGTCCTCTTCACTTTCAGCAAGCAAGGCTGTCTCATCTGCATATCACAGATTGTTAACGAGTCTTCCCCCAATCCTGATGCCCCGTTCTTCCTCATATAGTCCAGCTGCTCAGATTATTTTCTCAGCATACAGATTGAATAAGTATGGTGAAAGGATACAACCCTGACGCACACCATTCTTGACTTTAAACCACACAGTGTCCCCTTGCTTTGCTCGAACGACTGCCACTTGGTCTACATACGGTTTCCTCATGAGCACAATTAAGTGTTCTGGAATTCCCATTCTTCGCAATGTTATCCATAATTTATTATGACCCACACAGTTTAGTGCCTTGTGTAACCAATGAAACACAGGTAAATGTCTCTCTGGTATTCTCTGGTATATAGCAGTAAATGCTGATATTAGAAAAGAAGAAAATTCTTAAATCAATGATCTTAGTATCAATATTTTTAAGAATACTTTTTTTTCCCCAATATGATCTCGAAATCAACACAACTCCAATCAAAATCTCAGCAGGCTTTTTGGTAGAAAATGACAAACTGATTCTAAAATTTATATGGAAATTAAAAGGAGCTAAATAGCTAAAATAATTTTTAAAAGGAAGAACCAGATTGATGGATTTTACATTACCTGATTTCAAGACTTATTATAAATCTCCAGTAATAAATACAGCATAGTATTAGCATAAGGATAGACCTGTAAACTAATAGAAAGATGAAAAAGTCCAGAAGTAGATCCAAAAATATGATGAATTGATTTTATACAAAGCTGCCAAGTGATTTAATGGGGAAATTGGAAGAGGGTAATCTTTACAGCAAATAGTGCTGGAATAATTGACATCCATATGCAAAAAAGAAAACTTTGATCTTTACCTCACCCCATATATAAAAATTAATTCAAAATTCATCATAGATCTAAATGTAAGAGCTAAAATTATAAAACTTCTAGATAAAAAAATGGGTGAAAGATTTGAACAGGCACTTTTATCAGGAAGATACATTGTTGGTAAAATACATGAAAATATGCTTAGCACAATTAGTCATTAGGGAAATAAAATTAAAACTACTATACATTCTGTTTTTGTTGTTGGTGTGTGCTGTCGAGTTGATTCCAACTCATAGCAACCCTGTAGGACAGAGTAGAACTGCCCCATAGAGTTTCCTAGGCTGTAATCTTTACAAGAGCAGATCACTAAGTCTTTTCTCCTGTGGAGCCGCTGGGTGGGTTCAAACCACTGACCTTTCAGTTATCAGCCAAGTGCTTAACCACTGTGCCACCAAGCCTCCTTCCATACATTCTAGAATGGCTAAAATGTGAAAGATTGATAACATCAAGTGTTGGCAAGGATGTGAAGCAACTGGAACTCTCATACATTAATGGCAGGAATACAAAATGATATGTTCACTTTGGAAAACAAAAGTTTGGCAGTTTCTTATAAAGTGAAACATAACTTATCATCTGACCCAGCCATTTCACTCCTAGATATTTACCCAAGAAAAATGAAAACATATGTCCACACAAAGACTTGATTATGAATGTCCATAGCAACATTGTTCATAAAAACTAAAAATTGGAAAGAAACCAAAAGTCCACCCAGTGAGGAATGCATAAGCAAATTACAGTGTATTCATACAAGTATGTTCTACTCGGAAATAAAAAGGAATGGATTACTGATACCAGGAACAATGTGAATGAATATCAATCACATCAAGCTAAGGGAAAGAAACCAGACACAAAAGTCTTCATAGCGTATGACAAAATTATGAGAAATTCTAGAAAAGGCAAAGCTATGGTGATAGAAAGCACACCAGCAGTTGCCAGGGCCAGGTTGCTAGGAGGTGATGGAAATGTTCAATATCATGATTGTGATGGGAATTACATGATGTATGCGTTTTTCAAAACTCATTGAATTGTACAGTTGAAATGGGTAAATTTTGCTGTTTGTAAATTATTCCTCAATAAAGCTGACACTAAAAATTTAATTTAAAAAAATGTTTTTAATCTGCTGTCAAACTGAGCGAGGGAGAAGGCGTGCAGTGGTGGGGGGCAGAGGCCAGCCTTCCTAAGGGGGTAAGCAGAGGTCCTTTACACGGAGTCTGGGTGTGAGCAGGGTGACAGTGAAGTTGAAGATATGAGGACTTGGGGACTGTTGAAGAGTGCAGGATCCTGCGCCTGTTTAAATGCCCACAAGAAGGAACTAGGAGAGGGAGATGAGAAGTGAGAAGGAGCATCCTGACGGCAGGAGGTACCTGGGCAGGTGAAAGAAGCCAGGCTCCAGGCACAGGGAGGGCATGCCTGGGATAGGAGGAGGGACATTTTCCGGAGGCTCTTCTGTAGAAAATGACAAATTGATTCTAAAAAGTATATGGAAATTAAAAGGACCTATAATCGCCATGACAATTTTTAAAGGGAAGGACAAGATTGGAGGACCTACATTATCTGATTTCAAGACTTATTATATCTCTCCAACAATCAAGACAGGATAAAACATAACAAGATAAAATGGGAACGGTTGCCATCGACGCCGACTCATGGTAACCCCCCACGTGTGTCAGTGTAGAATTGTGCTCCATAGGGTTTTTGATGACTGATTTTTCAGAACTAGATCACCAGGCCTTTCTTCCAAGACACCTCTGGGTGGACCTGAACCTCCATCCTTTCGGTTAGCAGCTGAGTGCTAAGCTGTTTGTACCACCCAGGAACTCCAATCAAGACAGTGTAGTATGGGCATAAAGACAGACAGGCGGGCCAATAGAAGAGAAAAATCTGTCAGGAGTGGGTGTTGGTACAGGCCAAAAGATGCTAGTCCAAAATGGCTAACATAGGGCTTACCCAATGCCTACCTCAATGCTTAGGTTTGCCCTGTGAATCAGGAGGAGAGGGGAGGAGGCAGGCAGGGAGGAGGGAAGCCAGTCCAAATCTCCTCTCCTTCAAATGTCAATTGCAAGGGTGGACCTAATGCCGGATCCCCAGGCTCCAGACATCGCTCCCTGCTAGGCGTCCTCCCAATCTCCACGGCTGGTTGGGCAGAGATGGCCTGGCCCACCCAGGACCCTCTCCAAGGCCACTCCCCAAAGCCAGGCTCACAAACAGTGCCAACCCCAAACTGTGTTCTAGCCATCACGGGATCAGTTGGAGGTGGAGGGTGGAGAGGAGCCTGGGTGGAGTAACAGACAGCAGGCACCAGCCTTGCCCTCCCAGGGATCCCACCTCTGCTCCCCAGCCCCCTCCTGCCTGGTTCCTATCAAACACCAGGTCCTAGGCAGCTCTGCTTCCATCTGGAAATCAGTCCTGAGTGACCACATTCAAGGGGCCTACAGCTCACTTTTCATTTGGAAAATGTGTACAGAAAATGCCACGTCTCACTAGGGAGCAAGACGTGACTCTCGGAGACAGCCTGGGAGATGCTGGAAAGCACTAGCCAACCACTAATCAACCACAAAAGTCCCTTTGTTGTGGCTTTGGAGGAAAAAGTCCTGATCACAGCCCTGGAGGCTGGCCTGGGCCACAGCTCCTTTGGGAAGTCACTGAATCACTTGGGGGCTTGATTTTGGAGCCAGATGGAGCCCCTGCCTCTGGGTGGTGTTTCTGGGGCCTAGCACCCCAAGTGAGAGGCAAGTGGGCTGCAGTCAGCTGAGGTGGGGAGGCCAGGGTCTTGGCCACTAGCTCTGACAGCCAAGAGCCCCGTCCTGCTCCCCAAAGCCACATCCAAAGCCTCTAGTGAGGTCAGCCTCGAGGTTCCTCGGCTGCCTGGGCCCAGGAGGAGCGGCTGAGCAGCTTCCAGGTCCAGCCCCACGAGGAAGGAGAAGCTGAAGAGGAACCAGGGGCCTGAGGGGATTAGCTCATGTTTATGCAGATTTATGACCAAAACTCCTCCCAGAAATGCACTTGTTAAAATAAGCTGAGTAAGGCCAAAAGTTGGCTCAAAACAGATCCAAATCCAGTGGGTTCAATGGAAACAGGAGTCAGCGATGGGGAAGAGGTGTGTGGCAGACATGACGGAGGAGACAGGAGGCCTGAGGGCAGGTGGACCATGGGCACCCAAGCTGGGCCTGGCATCCAGGCTCCAGGGAGCTGCTCTCTGAAGCCTGACGGTTAATTCGGGGCTCCTCGGGGCATCCCATCTGCGCTCTCTTTTAGCTTGTGCCTGTGAAACAGGTTGTAGAGCACTCGCAGCGTGCTCTTTTCATCCTTGTTCACAATGTCTGTGGACCAGAGGGGACAGGCAGCGGGTCAGGACTGGAGGGTGACCAACCGTCCTGGTTTGCATGGGACCAAGGGGTTTCCTGGGTCACGAGACTTTGAGAGCTAAAGCCAGAAGAACCTCTGGCAAACCAGGACAGTGGGTCATGCTAGGCCTGAGTCCCAGGGCCCATCCCAAGACCCTGCCTCCATCCTCCTCCTGTCCCATCTTCCCCTTCACCCCTCTTGGGGACCCCCAGCCATAGCCCCCTAACCCAGCAACTCCTTGAGATCTGGCTTCTCTCTTCTTTACTGGGGATAAGTGATCGTGTAGATGGCACAGGGCCTAGGGTAGTTTACTGGGGTTATTAGACAAGATGGTGCAGGTGGAAGGGATGGGCATAGTGCCCCCCTAATAGGAAAGATCAGCAAACACTCACCATCCCACCCCAGCCAAGCAAGACTGTGCTAACACTTGGCCATTGTCCACGCCCTCGGCTTCACTCTGCCCCATCTCGCCTGGGGCTGGCCTGCCCAGAGAACAGGGCCACAATGCCGCTTCTGGCTTGCACTGACCTTCAGGGTTGATGGGATAGTTGAGCAAGCCTTCATCCTTCAGCAGCTCCAGGGCCAGGGTGACATTGTGTAGCTACAATGACAAGGCCCCGTCAGATGTCAGTAAAATGAGGCACCCTCAGCCCAGGCCCTGGTTCCCAAATGCCAGGCCTGTCTATTTGCATCTGGACCACCAGCTTCCAACCCAAACTCCCACCAAGCTTTATCCCTGAACTTCAACCACAATTCTTCAGGACTTCTCAGAGCCTTGCGTATGTTAGTGTGTCATGAACCCTCAGGACTGTGTGCATTTCCCCGAGGAATTCAACCACAGAACCTGTTGTCCTAGCACCTCTCATTGAACTAGGGTTTTGGAAACGCTCCTTTTATTCATTTATTTAAAAAAGTATTTACTGAGCATTATGATGGTTGATGTTCTGTGTCAAATTGGCTAGGCCATGATTCTCAGTGGTTTGGCAGATCTGATGTAATCATCCTCCATTTTGTGATCTGATGTGAGCAGCCAATCAGTTGAAAGGGGAGTTTCCTTGGGGGTGTGGCCTACATCCAATATATATGGATGTTCTGGCAAAGCTTGCCCTCTCACAATCCTACATCTGACTTGTCATCCTCTGACCTCTGGTTCTTGGGACGTGAGCCAGCAGCCTGCTGTCTGACCTGCAGATTTGGGGTTCGTCAGCCCCTACAACCACATGAGTCAGTGAAGCCTCCAGCCTGACTCCTGACCCACAGATTTGGGACTTGCCAGCCTTCACAACTGCATAAGCCATTTCCTAGAGCTAAATCTCTCTGTATGTATATTTACACATATACGCTTCACTGGTTTTTCTCCCCTAGAGAACACAGCCTCAGACAACTATCTACCACACACAGATCTGCAATGGGGGACAAAACAGACCTGCTCCCTGCCCTCGTGAACTTTATGCTGCAGGAATTGCTGCTACAGACATTGTAAAAATGATCACAGTGGTTTCTATCTGTCACACTTCTGCTCCACAATGCCCAATCTGAACCAAAGGTGGTGTCCCAGGTGTCCTGGCTCCAGCGTTACCCTGTTGTTGGTTGCCACCGAGTCGGCTCTGATTCATGGCGGCCCCACGTGCAACAGAACAAAATGCGGCCTGGTCCCGCACCTTCTTCGTGATTACTGGCATGTCTGAGTCCATTGTTGCAGCCACTGTGTATTCTGAGGGCCTTCCAACCTAAGGGGCTCATCCCCCAGCACTACATCGGACACTATTTTATTGTGATCCATAGGGTTTTTTATTAGCTTATTTTCAGAAGTAGGGGCCTGGGTGGCGCAAGCAGTTTGCAATCGGCTGCTAACCTAAAGGTTGGCGGTTCAAACCCACCAAGTGGCACCACGGAAGAAAGGCCTAGTGATCTACTTCCATAAAGATTACAGCCAGGAAAACCCTATGGAGCTGTTCTATTCCGTAACACATGGGGTTGCCATGAATCAGGGCTGATTTGAGGGCAGCTGCTAACAATAACAACAACAATTTTTGGTAGTAGATCACCAGGCCTTCCTTCCGGGTCTGTTGTAGTCTGGAAGCTCCACTGAAACCCATCCACCCATGGGTAACCCGGCTGGTATTTGTAATACTGGTGGCATAGCTTTCAGCATCATAGCAACACGCAAACCACCACAGTATGGCACGTGGACAGACCAACTAGAGTTACCTAGCCACGCTTTACCCAAAGTATTGTTTCTCCAGCACACGGTTTGAGATGATGAAGGTAAGCCACCATGTTCCATGGAGCCAAGGGCAGGTCTCGCCCCTGGGAGGACAAATCCAGTCCTCCTGGGGAGAAATAATTGCTTGTGGGAGGAAGCTGAAGATCCCACTCAGCTGTTTCTTCGGAACAGCTGATCCCTTCTCTCCCCCACTGCGTCCCTCACTCTTCTGTTCCTGCCACGAATGACAATCTCACGTAAACACCACTGGAAGGAAAGGGCCGATAATGAGAAACGCAATTCCAAACAGCGGCTCTGCCAAGATAACAATCCTGTAGGTGTCCCACTGGTGGACAGGGCTGCATCCCCACCCTCGTCAGCTAATGGCCTCTCAGCACCTTTATTATAGATTCTTGCAGCCGCAGAAATTCACTCTTGGGGTCTGAGTTAGGCAGCTGTGTTACCCCACATCTAAACTGGCTCAGATTTGGAAGCGGGGTCTGAGAGCAGTGGATTCCACAAGCTGGCTCTAAGCAGGGACTTTAGAAGCCTGGACTTTTGTCCCCAGCTTGTAACTGGGGGTTCAGAAGCATGTAAAATATTGAGCACAGGCCTTGTGGTCTCTGTAAGCCCCAGCACCCAAGTGACAAAGAAGGACCCGCATGCCGTCTGAGTCTTGGTTCTGAGTCCTGCCCCAGAGGCTCCTTGGCGTTCTGTCTTGCCCCATTGCCACCCTCCTGCCTTCCCTCCTCTCGCCTCCCACCTCAATCTCCCACCTCAGAATGTGAGATCAGCATCTAGTCTCAGCTTTGACTCCTCCTGAGCTCTTCAGTTGTGATCGTTCCATGGTAGAACTCTCTCCTTCTATGCAGGAGAGCCAAGTTCGATTCCTGGCCAATGTACCTTGAGCGCAGCCACCACTCGTCCATCAGTGGAGGCTTCAACGTGTTACTGAACAGGTTTCAATGGAGCTTCCAGACTAAGACAGACTAGGAAGAAAGGCCTGGCATTCTGCTTCCGAAGATCAGCCATGAAACCCTTTGGGTCACAACAGTCTGATCCCATTGTGCATTGGGTCACCATGAGTTGAGGCCAACTGGACAGTAGCTAACCACAACAAGCAGCCTCAGGCAAGCCTCCTTCTCGCCTGTAGAGAGGCTCACGGCTCTGCTTCTCCCACGGGGCTCCCCAGGAAGGAAATGGAGAAGCAGTGAGCTTTGGAACAGATAAGCCTAACCTCTACCCTCAGCAGCTGTGTGTTCTTGGCCAGATCACTGAACCTCTCTGAATTCATTTCCTCCCATGGAAATGGAGATGGGAAGAGCTCCCAACTCTGGCCTGGTGTGTGGATTTATTAACAAGTTGATCTCCACTGCCTGTGAGAGATCACACCACTGGCCCCAGCTCTGCCCCTCTCCCTGGACCCAACCCTCTGCCCTGCATGTCACTCTGCAGGGCTCTCCCTGTCACCACCAAGGAGGTGGAAGTGACAGCAGGCCAGTTCCAACCCCAGCCTCAAGGCGTTTGGTGTGTTTCCTGGATTCTGCTTGGTCTCTTGTGTCTCTGCCATTGCCAGGAGAAAAATATGCCCAGACTAGTGGCTGGTCCCAGGAGGAGGGCGAGAGACAGGTGACACAGAGTGGATTGCCCCAGCCGAACACAGCCAAGATCACCGTGTCCCCAGCTGGTCCCCAGCTGAATGCTGGAGCCCAGGCAAACCTAGATCAGCTGGGCTCAGCCAACCTGCAGGCCCAGGAGAATCAATGATTGTGGTTGTAAGCCTCTGGTGTTTTGGGTGGGTTGTTATGGGGCATTTCTGTGGCAATAGCTGACCGATACGGTGCCTAGAGAACGGAAGGATCTGTTATGGACTGAATATGTTCCTCTGTAATGGATTGAATTGTGTCCCCCCAAAAATATGTGTCAAGTTGGCTAGTCCTTGATTCCCAGTATTGTGTGACTGTCTACCATTTTGTCATCTGATGTGATTTTCCTATGTGTTGTAAATCCTACCTTTATAATGTTAATGAGGTGGGGTTAGCAGCAGTCGTGTTAATGAGGCAGGACTCAATCTATAAGATTCAGCTGTGTCTTAATCCAATCTCTTTTGAGATATGAAAAAAAAGCAAACAGAGAGACAGCGGGACCTCATACCACCAAGAAAGTAGTACCAGGAGCAGAGTGTGTCCTTTGGACCCAGGGTTCCTGTGCAGAGAAGCTCCCAGACCAGGGGAAGACTGATGAAAAGGACCTTCCTTGAGAGCCGACAGAGAGAGAAAGCCTCTCCCCAGAGCTGATGCCCTGAATTTGGACTTTAGCCTACCAGACTGTGAAAGAATAAATTTCTCTTTGTTAAAGCCATCCACTTGTATTTCTGTTATAGCAGCACTAGATGACTGAGACACCCTCCAAAGTATATGTTGAGGTCCTAATCCCTGTCCCTGTGAATGTGACCCTGTTTGGAAATAGGATTTTCTCTTGTTATGTTAATGAGGTTGCATCAGTGCAGAGTGGGTCCTAAACCTAATCATTACTGAGTCATAAAAAGAGCAGAACAGACACAGAGACACACTCTGGGGAAGACAGACACCAAGGAAAGCCAAGGAACCCCAAGGAACCCCAAGGAACTCCTGGCATTACTGACAAGGAGGGACCCTCCCTTAAAGCTGAGACCCTGATTAGGACATTTAGCCTCCAGAATGGTGGGAAGGTACATTTCTGCTCTTTAAAGCCACCCACTTGAGGTCCTTCTGTGATGGCTGTTGCACCAGGGAACTAAGACAGGGCCCAGGAAGTGTTGGCCACTGTCCCGATTACCACCACGGGAACCACAACACCGCACTGTTTTGGCCCATTTGCTCCTCTCCCAACATCCCAGCTCTTGGGAAGCGGAGCCCTGGATCCATCTTCAAATCAGGAGCACACCTGTCTCCAGGCCAGGTGGAGGTCACACCCACTGAAGACCACAGCCCCATGGTGCAAAGAGGGGAACAGCAGACTGAGGGGTGGAGGCTGCATCCTGGTGTCAGACTTGGCACTAAGCAACCCCTGGGGCCTCAGTTTTCCCTCTGTGAAACGGAGAAACAATCACGGCCCTGCCCCCTCAGGGGTGTGGAGTAAGGATGAAATGGGATAATGGGTGAGGTGAGGCCAGAGCGGAGGGGGACTTCACTACCAAGAAAGAAGAGCTAGGAGTGGGGCACGTCCTTTGGACCTGGGATCCCTGCGCTGAGAACCTCCTAGATGCAGGAGACAGAGAGAGAGGGCTGTAACACCAAAGACGGCAAGAGATGGTGAGAAGCAGCAGCAGAGAAACAGCAGCAGAGGCAGCAGAACCAGGAGACCGGCAGGAGACGGTGCAGTGGGCTTCCTGGCCCACAGAACAAGAAAGCTGAGCGCCTTCGGGCAGGAGGCTTCCTGGAAGAGTGGGGTGCCTCCGGGCTCTTACTGGCAGAGCTAAGAGCTTTGTAACACTTGCCTAAGCAGGGCAGGGGCCAGGCCAAGGGGCCGAGAGGCCTAGGGCCAGAAACAGGTCTGCCTGTGGGCATGGCTGAGAAGAGGCTGTCCTGATGGAAGATCTGTATCCTGAGTCATTCCTGATCCTGAATTGTAACCTGTTACTTCCCTAATAAACCGTAATTGTAAATATGGTCTGTGAGTTCTGTGTGGCCATTGCTACAAATTACCAAACACAGCAGAGAAGTAGAGAGTGCCACGGGAGGGACAGCTGGTGTCAGAATTGGTAGAAAGGTTGGAGAGAGGAAGGTATGTCTGACCTCCACCTCATAGCAATCAGCCATGGACTGTTTATGCTGATAATGATTCTCCTCCCTCTTTGTGAAGTTAGAGAAGGAGGTCAGATGACACTGTCACCGTGCCATTTTTACAGCTGGGTGGGTGGATGGGCCAGTGGGTGGACGGGTGAATGGGTGAGCAGGAGGGTAGGTGGACGGACAGACAGGTGGACAAATAAACTTGCCCCTCACCCTTCACTTCACCTGGAAGTGAATGCATCAAGGCTGTTCATGGCAACTCCAGAGTACTGCGTAATGCAAACAGTTAACGAGCTTGGTTTCTAACTGAAAAGTGGGAAGTTTGAGTTCACCCAGAGGCACCCCAGAAGAAAGGCCTGGCAATCTCCTTCCAAAAACTCAGCCATTGACAACTCTTCAACTCTGTCATACATGGGGTCGCCAGGAGTCAGAATCAACTCAACAGCATATGATTTTTCATGCCAGTTCCACAGACTTGTCTGCTCTGGAGGCAGATAATCATCTTTGGCAAACTTACCATTTCCGCAGGAGAGCTGGGAGTTAGGTAGAATTCCTTCAGGTGCAGGAAGAAGCCTCCCAGCTGTCCAATCAGCAAGAGTAAGATGACCCCATCTGCAAACTACAAAGGGAGGAGCAGCAGTCAGGCCGGCCAGAGGGTGCCCGCTCTGCCGTTACAGGCTGTATGGCCCTAAGAAAGATGTACGACCTCTCTGAGCCTCAGGTTCCTTTCTGAGAAGCAGAAGCAATATTCCCGACCTGGCGGCATTATTGTAAACAGCAGCAGGTATAATGCAGTTATCGGCTGCCTGGTACGTAGTACATGCTCAATAAACAAGAGCCATTTTAAAATTTGTTCTGAAATAGCCTCATATTACTTTTTAAACCACAGACCTTTCCAGGATCCGGAGAAACACAGGCAAAAAGAGAGGTAAGTGTAAGGTTATCCTTTGGGAAAAGGCAGAGAAGAGCAGGCCAGGCTCATTTTGCCGGCTGCCACATTAATATTTCTGTCTGTTCTCTCTGTTTGCAGAGAAAGCCGCCGTCCTGCCACCAGTGTGCGATATGCTAATATACTCCTACTGAATCTCTTCAAAGATACAAAACACAAGATTGGATATTGGAGGAGACGCATCTCTTGAAGTCCATAACAGAATTTCTTCATATTACGTCTGTTCCAATGTTATTAGTTTGGGCCTGAAATCTTTTCTGCTGATTTTCCCTGCTAATACAACCTCGATCCCCAGACTTCAATATCCTTTTTTATTCAACAGTCTCTAAATACCAGCCTCGTACATGTCATTATCTCCAAATACCATTATTTTACCAAGGGAGACAGCACAATGAGACGGTAGAATGTCAGCCCCCATTAAATATGATAATAATTAAAACCTATTTATGGTGTGTCCATGGGGTGTCAGGTGATACACTGAATGTCTGACACTCCTCATATCATTTATCACTAACTATTCTACCAGTTTGGGATCCTTGTACCCATTTCATAAGAAGAGGAGACTGAGGTTCAGAGAAGACTGGTAACTCGCCCAAGGTCTCATGGTTAATGTGGATGGGATGTCCTCGGAGTCCAGAGGTCAGAAGTGGCAGAGACAGGATAGAAACTCATGTCTGGCTGGCTGGCTGGCTCCGGAATCTGATGTTCCCTCTCTGCCACGTCACCACACCACTTCACGCATAAACTTCTCACGTGGCCGCCATGTGAGGTGGTTATGAGCTCACACTCTGGATCCCGCTGTCTGGGTTCAAATCCCAGGCCCACCCCTTAGTCTCTGTGTGGCCTTGGACAAGTTAGTTAACGTCGCTGTGCCTCAGTGCCCTCATGTGTGAAATGGAGTAGCATCAGTTCCCACCTCAGGGGTTGTTGGGAGGATTCAGTGAGTGAATGTACATAAAGCGCTTTGCCCAGGACCTGGTACATTCCAGCTCATGACCACCCCATGTATCTCAGAGTACAACTGTGCTCCACAGGGTTTTCAATGACTGAGTTTGGGGTAGTAGATCACCTGGCGTATAAATAAAACACCAAACCCGTTGCTGTCAATTCCAACTCATGGCGACCCCATGTGGTACAGAGTAGAACTGCTCCATAGGGCTTTCTTGGCTGTCATCTTTATGGAAGCAGACTGCCAGGCCTTTCTTCTGCGGTGCCGCTGGGTGGACTCCAACTGCCAAACTTTAAGTTAGTAGTCAAGTGCAAACCATTTGGGCTTCCAGAGACCCTAACCAAAAACCAAACCCATTGCCACTGAGTCGATTCTGACTCGTAGCAACCCTATAGGACGCGGTAGATAGAACTGCCCCATAGTGTTTCCAAGGTTGTAATCTTTACAGAAGCAGACTGCCACATCTTTCTCCCACGGGGAGGCTGGTAGGTTCAAACTGCAGACCTTTCGGTTAGCAGCCAAGAGCTTAACCACTGCACCTCCAGGGCTCCTCCAGGGGCCCTTGTGAGGACTTTATAGGTTTTCACTACCAGGCGTGCAAGCATATCAACCCCACACAGCCCTGGCGAGTGTCCAGAGTGTGTCTCAGAAGATCTTCATTAGCCGTTTGGCCGTCTGGGATCAGACCTCCCCGCCCCAATACTCCATGAGACCCCAGGCAGCCCATGCCTGTGGCACCCGTCTAGTTGAAGCTGCCTGGGGTCCAGCGGCCTCCGTGGCCGCCCTGAAAGTCCCCGGGCTGGCGGCTGGCCTCTCTGCCCCCATTCACTCCTGCGTCGAGAGGGAGCAAAACGACAAACCGTGATTAGGAAAGCCTGTGGCCAACTAGGCACACTGACAGCGTAAGACCCTGCTTCTGCTGCTGGGGTCACCTCGCTTAAGTCCCTGTCAAGAGCTGAGCTCCTGGGTGCTCAGCAGAGATGGGAGCCGCAGACGGCACCCACAGCACAGCCTGGTCCAAGCTCGGTAAATAATGCTCAAGCAAAACACAATGACTCCGGGAAAGCTCCTTGCTCTGAGTCTCGGTGTCTGATAGCCTAAGATTAATTATGAAAAAAGAGCTGAAAAATGTTTTTTTTTTTTTTCTTTACAACAATGGAAAGTAATAACAGTGCATATGATGCCCCACCTTTATAAAGTGCACCTGTAGTCCCCACCTCAGGGGACCCTCACGGTGTCCTGGTGGACAAGGTGGCCTGCCAGCAGCACCTCCCATTGGCAGGAAGGATCCCAAGGCTCCGAGAGGTGACGTGTGCCAGCCACAAGGTGAGTTGGGAGCCCCGGCGCAGAAACCAGACCCTGCAGGACACTCTTTCCTGCCAGCACCCCATGGCCCCTCCCTGCCCGGGGACCCCACAGCTAAGCCCCTACCTGGGTGTCCAGGCTCTGCACGGACAGGCCCAGGCGGTCCAGCTTCTGGTTGACAAAGGTCACAATGGCCTGCCCAGGGAGAAACAAGAACCCAGAGGAGGGGCTCCTGCTTGCACCTTCACACTTGGTGTGGCAGAGCCCGCCAGCCCAGCACCCAGTACAACAGGTGCGAGACGGCCATTTTCTTCCCCTTCCCCGCCCCACCCCAACAGGCAGGTGAGCAACGGGCGGGCGGGTAGGGGCCGAACCCAGAGCTTTGATTTCTGTTACCTGTTTCACGGCGCTCACTTTCTCCGGAGCCAGCTTAAATAATTCATCAAAGACGTCCTCTGCAGACACAGACCCAGTAAACACCTCGTTACCACTCTGCTGTCTTTGGGCCAGTGGAGGGTTCTTCGCACAGAAGTCTTTCGAGTGAGTAGTTCAGAGGGAGCGGTAGTTTTTTCTCGTGGGTCTTGAATTAAACAGGCCTAGACCTGGGTTTGAATCACTGCTCCCTGGCTGTGTGGCCTGGGGCGAATCCCCTCACTTCTCTGTGCCTCAGTTTCCTCATTTGTAAAGTAGGGCTGATAATACCTACTGGGTGAGCTGTTGTGATCAAATCTGGTAGCAGATAACACACTTAGAATGGAGTCCAGACACACAGTAGGGCTTTAATAAATAGTCATCCTTTCTATAGTTGTTGTTAGGTGCCGTCAAGTTGATTCCGACTCCTACCAACCCTGCGTAAAACAGAACGAAACACTGCCCGGTCCTGTGCCATCCTCACAATCGTTGCTATTTTTGAGTGCCTTCCACCTGTGGAGCTCATCTCTTGGCACTGTGTCGGGCAATGTTCCGCTGCTCTTCATAAGGTTTTCACTGGCCGATTTTTTTAGAAGTAGATCACCAGGCTCTTCTTCCTAATCTATAGTAAACCCGTTGCTATCGAGCTGATTCTGACTCATACCGACCCTATAGGACAGAGTAGGACTGCCCTGTAGGGTTTCCAAGGAGCAGCTGGTGGATTGGAACTGCCGACCTTTTGGTTAGCAGCCAAGTTCTTAACAACTGCACCACCAGGGCTCCTAATCGATAGTGGACGCCTATTATTGCGTCTGGAGCCCCTGGGTGGTGCAAACAGTTAACACACTCGGCTGCTAACCAAAAGGTTGGAAGTTCGAGTCCACTCAGGGGCATCTCAGAGGACAGCCCTGGTGATCTACTTCTGAAAAATTCAGCCATTGGAAACCCTGTGGAGCACACTTCTACTCTGACACACATGGGGTCGCCATGAGTCAGGACTGATTTGACAGCAACTGGTTTTTTATTATTGCGTTTGCACAGCTGCCACCCCTCCCTCTGGGGACTTGCCCTTTCCTCCTCCCAGTTCCCAGCTTCAACCCAGTTACATGGGAGCTGTCATAGTTGACTGTCCAGGAGCAGCCCCAGACTGATGCAGGACCCATCTCTCTCCTCCCAGAGAATTCTGGATGGGCAGAGGGAGGGTGTCAGGCCCACTGTGGTGTCTGCACCTACAACATGTAAGACACACGTACCCTGAGCAGCTGAGCTCAAGCTCCTGGATCCAGCTGCTCCTGAAGCCAGCCTCTGCCTCCCCATTTCCTCTGACCAATGCTCTCTTTGCACAAGCTGGGTTCCTGCCCTCTGCAGTTCATACACTGCACCTGGGGAGACTGGCTGTTGAGCCCTGAATATCCAGACTGCGTTTTGGAGCCCTTTGTCAAAAAGCCCTAGTGTACCTCCCAATTCTGCCCTTTGCAGCTGTGCCTCGGAGCAAGTCACTCCACCTCTCTGCCCTCATTCATGAAGGGGAATGGTAGGCCTACATAGCATCATCCATGTGAATATGCCCCACAAACTGACAGACAGGGGGACACCAGCAGTCCCTTCCAGACCTCCAGCCTGTGGCAAGGGAGACCGTGTCACTGAAGGAGTCAGGAAAAGAGGGGCAAGTGTGCGTGCAGATGATGCAGGCCAGAGCAGGATGAATTTCCAGGAAACTGCTTTGAGGGAGCCCCTGCCCCTCACTGTGTGACATCCATCCTCATGCTACCTCCCCCCGCAACAAACACAGCTCCCTGATCACCACCCCATGTCCTCACACTGCCACATACACACACACGCACCTGGCCAGCCCTCCCTGTACCTCACTGCACCTCACTCTCCTTCCTCCCCCACTCAGGCTTCCTCAGCCCCTGTTCTCAGAAGCTCCCAGCAGGTCACAACTTCTACTCCCTTCCGCCCCCTACCCACCCACCTATACAGCCCTGTGTCCTAGATGAGGAGGGTGCAGGGAGGGAAGGAGTCAGGAAGTGAGAGACATATTAGGATGGATGGATGGGCAGGCGGACAGACAGATGGACGGACGGACAAGTGGATGGATGGATGCGTGGATGGATGGATGGATGGATGGATGGATGGATGGATGGATGGATGGATGGATGGATGGATGGATGGATGGACCGACCACTGGCCAGGCCAACTGACCAAGAAATAGATGAATGAAAGCAGTAATGGCTGGATCGATAGGTGGATTGATTGGTGAAGAGCTTTGTCACAATAGCAGCAGCCGCAGAAATTGAACACTCACCACTGAGCACTCACTGTGTGCTAAGCACATTCACAGATTATCTCCTTCAGCCCTCACCACCAGCCAAAGAGGTTGGTGTTATGATGAATCCCATTTTACAGATGAGGAAACTGAGACACAGACTGGTTAAGATACTTGCCCCAGCTCAAGTGGCTAATGAGTTGGAGATCTGGGTTATGAACCCCGGCCATCTGGCTCCAGAGTCCCTGTACTTAACAACTCCACCATCACCAACTGCGTGAATTATAAATCTCTGTACCCATATGAGCAGTACCAAGAGAAGGAACAGCCAGATCCATGGACGGACAGACAAACAGGAGGGACAAATAGATATGAGTAAGGCTCAAGATACAAATAGCAGACTATCAAGGAAATTTATGAGAAGGCCCGGTGATCAACTCTTGATCACGGCATATGGTTTCAACACAAATTAGACAGAACAAGGTTTCCTTAAATTCTGAAGATACTCACTTGGAGATTGGTCCTTGTCTGTGCTATAGCAGAAATTGCAGAGGGAAGAAAGTGAAAAATAGTTTTAAAAAAACATCCACAGACTTGTAATTCCTTAATAAGACAGGACTCGGTGGCTGACAAGGTTGGGAAGAAATGAATGTGCTTATTTTATTGTCGGTAGCAACAATGGGCTCAAACACAGCAACAATTATGAGGATGGTGCAGGACCGGATGGTGTTTGGTTCTGTTGAATGTAGGGACTTCATGAGTCCAAACGGACTCGATGGCACCTAACAACAAGCTTCTAAACCAGGGCGAACCCTCGGGGGAGGAAAAGGGGAAGACTCAGCAAAGGGCAAAAGGAAGCTTAGAGCCTTTCCATGGGGCTGCCACGCCCAGAAATGTTTGGATTTTGTTGTTTTCACCTGTGCTGTTTTAGTTCTATTTGGGGGTTGGGGGGAATATTATCTACAGGAGCCCTGGTGGCGAAAACGGAGGGTTGATGGTCTGAACCCACCCAGCAGCTCCGCGGGAAAAAGACCTGGCAATCTGCTCCTGTAAAGATTACAGCAGTTCTACTCTGTCACATGGGATCGCTATGAGTCAGCATTGACTTGATGGCACCTAACAATGTATTATATATATAATAAGGTGCAAAAATCTCAAGTTTACAGCTTGTACATTTTTACATATATACACATCTGTGTAACCGACCTAGAACACTCCTAGCGCCCATCACGTGCCCTTCCAGTCCATCAGCCCACACCCAAAGGTCACCACTGCTTCGACTTCCGTCACCATCGACTAGTTTTGCCTGTTCTAGAAGCTCATATAAGTGAAATCCTGCACATGTACTCTTTGCGTCTGGCGCCTTCCGTTCCGTTTTTTTGGGGTTTGAGTGGCTTTTCTTTGATTTTGGTTGCTGTATTGCATCCCCCGCTCCTGCCACACAGAGGTGCGGTTCTCCAGGCCCAAAGCCAGCCTAGCTCTGGGGAGAGCAGGGCAGGCCCTCTGCCTACGGCCCATGGGCAGGAGCTGGGCCATGTGGGTTGGGATGGGAAGCCTGAAACAGACTCAGGATTTAGCACCAAGCCAGGCGCTGCTGGGAGAGGCTGACGCTGGGTGTGGTCCACGGCGCAAGCAGAGAGCCGGAGTGAGCCTGCACAGAGGCTCCGAGCTCACAAAACCAAGAAAAAACCCAAACCTGTTGCCGACTCATAGAGACCCTATAAGACAGAGTAGAACTGCCCCATAGGGTTTCCAAGGACCAGCTGGTGGACTTGAACTGCTGACCTTTTGGTTAGCAACTGAAAGCTTAACCACCTCGCTACCAGGGCTCCCCATTATACACATAAACGAGCTCACAGTGTTGCTAAGAATGGCAAGTTTCAGGTAAGGAAGGGGACAGGAATGCGGGTTCCACAAAAGCCAACCACCCTTCCCCATTCAAAACCTCTAAACGCATTCTCAGAAGGTCTCTTGGTGGCACAGTTTGTGCTCAGCCGCTAACCTAAAGGTTGGCAGTTCAAACCCACCCATCAGCACTGTGAAAGAAAGTCCTGGTGATCTGCATCCATTAAGATTACAGCCAATAGTAGACAAGAATTATCTCGGGTGAAGGGAAGGACAGCATACACCACAGGGGAAGTCATCACAACTGCACTAAACCAAAGCTAAGAAGTTTCCTGAATACAACCAAACACTTCAAAGGACAGAGTAGCAGGGGTGGGGATCTGGAAACTATGGTTTCAGGGGACATCTAGGTCAATTGGCATACAAAGTTTTTAAGAAAATCTGCATCCCCCTTTGGTGAGTGATGTCTGGTGCCTTAAAAGCTTGTGAGCGGCCATCTAAGATGCATCAATTGGTCCCAATCCACCTGGAGCAAAGGAGAATGAAGAACACCAAAGTCACAAGGCAAGTATTAGCCCAAGAGACAGAAAGGGCCACATAAACCAGAGACTCCATCAGCGTGAGACCAGAAGAACTAGATAGTGCCCAGCTACCACCAATGACCACCCTGACCAGGAACACAATGGAGAGTCCCTGACGGAGCGGGAGAAAAGTAGGGTGCAGAACTCAAACATAATGCTCTGACTGAGACTAGAGGAACCCTAGAAGACATGACCCCCAGACTCTCTGTTAACCCAGAACTGAAGCCATTCCCAAAGCCAACTCTTCAGACAAAAATCAGACTGGACTATAAAACATAAAATGATACTTGTGAAGAATGTGCTTCTTAGTTCGAGCAGATACATGAGACTAAATGGGAAGCTCCTGTCCAGAGGTGAGATGAGAAGGCAGAAAGGGATAAAAGCTGGCTGAATAGACACGGGGAATCTGGGGTGGAAAGGAGGAGTGTGCTGTCACATTATAGGGATGGTAACTAGGGTCACATAACAATATGTGTATAAATTTTTGTATGAGAAGCTAACCTGAGCTGTAAACTTTCACCTAAAGCACAATTTAAAAAAAAAAGATTATAGCCAAGCAAACTCTATGGAGCAGTTCTACTCTGCACGCCTGGGATCACCAAGAATGGAAGCAACTTGACGGCAATTAACATCAACAACTACAAATGCATTTTCAGAACCAGAAGCTGAGAGGGGAAGGACAGCTGTGGTATCAATAGGGCCAGTGCAGAGCTGCTTGGCCGCTGGGTGTCTGGGAGGTCATTTACCCTTGCTGGGCCCAGAGGGTGACAAGGCTGCTTCCTGGGGATTTTCTAGGGTCAGTGAGGACCCAGGACCTGTTGGTATGAGGGGACCACCAGAAGTCTGCTCCCTTCCACCGTTTGCCATGCTCAGACCACAGGCTTGGGCCACAGCCCTGACTTTGTCACCAACTTTCAGCAGTTTGAGCTCCCCTGTGCCTCACCCCCAACTGGAAATCTAAGAGCCATAGATTGGAAGGACCTCAGGGTTGGGGGAGCACAGGGAGAGGAATGGTCTTCACATACTCCATCTGTTACCCTCATGACAGTCCCAGAAGTAGGAATAGGGTCCCCAGTTCTCAGAAGACCAACTAGGCTCAGAGAGGGTAAGTGACTTGCTCAAGGTCACACAGCTCCTATGTGGCAGAGCTGGGATTTAAACGCAGGTGGAGCTGACTGCAAAGCCTATGCTCTTTTCCCAGGCTGTGGGAGCACACTCAAGGTCCTCCCCAGCAGAGTGTCCAGGCTGGAGTATAGTAGTTGGCCTCCAAGATGGCCCCCAACAATCCTTGCCTCCTGGTAGTCATGCCCTTGTGGTCGCCTCCCATACTAAGTAAGGCTGATCTATGTAACCAATAGGATATTGAGGAGATGATGGTGTGTGACTTCTGAGGCTAGGCCATAAAAGACACTGATGCAAGACTCCCGAGACTATTGCCTTAAGACAACCTTCTAACTTGAAACTAGACATTCCCAGAAGCCACTTTTCAGGCAAATAATAGACAAGGCTACAAAATAAGAATAACATCCGTGAAGAATGTGCTCCTTAGAACAACCAAAAGGGCAACATTTGCCCAAAACCAAAGCTGAGAAGACAGGGAGGGGCAGGGAAACCAGACTAATGGGAACAGGGAATCCAGCGAGGAAATGGTGAGAGAGCTGACACATGGTAGGGACTGCAACCAATGTGATGAAACAATTTGTGTAAGAATCATTGACTTAAAAATTAATTTGCTATGAAAACTTTCACCTAAAGCACAATAAAACATCAAAAAAAAAAAGAAAGAAAGAAAAGACACTGAGACCTTGCTCTCTCTTGGATCCCTCACTCTTGGGTAAGCCAGCCGCCATGTTGTGGGGACACTCAAGCAGCCTGTGAAGACTCCCTCTAAGGGAGGAACGGAGACCTTCTGCCAACAGCCAACACCAACTTGCCAACCACATGAGGGAACTATCTAAGAAGCAGGTCCTCAGCCTCAGTTAAGCCTTCAGATAACTGCAGCCCGAGCTGCCATCTTGAGTGCAGCCTCATGAGAGAACTCAAGCCAGTAGCACCCAGCTAAGCTGCTCCTGAATTCCTGACTCATAGAAACATGAGGAGAAGAAACATCCACTTTTGTTTTAAGCTGCTACATTTTGGGGAAACTTGCTAGAAAGCAGTCAATAACTAGTACAAGGAGTCAGAAAAATCTTTACTGCACCCAGCAGCTACCTCATCCCCAGCACGTCATCCAGCGGCTGTGCCCCGGGGAGAAACAAGCAAGATAAAGGGCTACTACGTGCTACAGAAAATGGAGGTGTCAGCACGGCCCCTCGGGGGCTGAGAAGAAGCCACAGAGTGTGAGGGCGCCTCCTTGAGAAGGTCAGGCGAGCAGACCTACGCGGTTCCCATCCCTCCAGGCACCCAGTACCTGCAAAGCTACAGCCCAGCCACAGTCCAGGATCACTGTCCTTCCCTTACTTGCATTCAGTGAGTTGTTCCACCGATTTCTCCGACTTCAGGCCACTCTTGGTGCTCTAAGAAAGAAGAAGGAAATGAAATTGAGCGGTGCCAGAATTGTGACAGACACCTGCCATTTAAGATGACCGGAGCGGACAAAGCTGGTGACCGTGGATTCAGGGACCCAGTTTGCTCTGTCTTGCCCCACCTGGGCAGCCTCCCGGGTCACCTCATCACTGCTTAATTGTCCTTCTTCTCCATAAGCCTACAGCCCCACAAGAGCGGGACCCTGTCTGCCTGGTTCCCAAGGCAACCCCAGAGACTCTCCCCGCATACAACTCACAGTGGGGTCGGTCAGCATGTGATGATTTGAATGAATTAATGAGTGACTGAATGAGCAAATGAATGAAGTTACCTGTGATTTGTATAAGAAGCATAAATAAAGCCATGAAGCTGCTCAGTAGAGAAATCTAATCAATGGTTTTGAAAAAAATTAAAATGAGTTGGACTGAGTTTGGCGGGCTTTGGCTTATTCTGTGGGGCAGGTCAAAGTCAGCCCTTGGACATGAGCTTAAAGGTTCTGCTCACCAGGTACCCAGAGGTGAGGGGAGGGAATACTGGGGAGTAGGAGTTGCTGGGGTCCCCTGTCTGGAGAGAAAGATGGGGCATCCTGGGGCATTAACTATAGCGTGAGTAGTGTACCTACTAGAGAGAGAGAGCCCTGTGGAGTGGAGAAATCTAAAAAGGCTCCTGAAAGAGGGGAACAGGACCTTGCCATACCCGCTCGTTAGTGAATGAGAGACATCAGACCGTAGTTGTGAGGGCAATGGACTGAATGGTCACAGACAGATGGCCACATGTGGCCCACATGATGGGGGTCATGTGGTTACCATCAGCCAAGACCTTCACAACAGCCCCAGACTCCACCTCTGCCAGGCAGGTGCCATCTGGTGAGATGAAGCAGAACTGGCCAGCTCAGGGACTTCCTCATGTCCCCACTGGGTTTCCGGCCCGCCACTGACTCTTGGTATCTCCCACCTACGGCTCCAGCCCAACTCCTCACTGCTGTCCTCATAAGATTTGATATTCCCCGACAGCTCCCTGAAACACACCCTGGCTCAGCCCCACCCATGAAGCACCACCACCCCATCCAGAGTATGGCTACGTGGACCGAAGAGTTCAGCCTAGGCAAGTGACCACTCGGGGTAGGTCATTACCTCGATGGTGATCACCTCCACCTGGACGTTGGCTGGGAGGGGCAGGCTGGGCTGGAAGCGCCTGGCCAGGGCTACCAGGAGATGCAAGGTAGCCAGCAGGTCCTTGTTGAAGATAGCTGAGAGGGGGAAGGGGAGCCGAAGTTCAGAGCCAAGGGGTGCCAAAACCAGGGGCCAAATGGAGGCTTCCACATTATCAGAACAACCCTTCGCCGACCAAGGACATCTATGTCAACTCTTCTGGAAAGCAGAAGTCTGAGATACATAGTCAGAACCTAAAAACTGTCGTCCTTGGACCCAGGCATCTACTTGCAAATACAGACCAAAGATATCATCCACCATGTGGACAGGGCTTTAGACACAAAGATGTTCACCACAGCATTCTTTACCGTTGAAAACAACCGAGCGTCCTATAGCAGAGCGCTGGCTGACTGATGTCATTCAGGGTCACCATTATAAACGCCAGTTACTGAATGTGAGACTACATGTGGTGGTGATGGCAGTGGTTTGTGACTCAACAAAAACCAGGTTAGAAAAATGGACTCGGTTACATCGTCGCCACCCAACCTTGGAAAAGCTACTTAACTCCTTTCAGCCTTAGTTTTCTCATCTGGAAAATGGGGATGATAAAGAGATTGGAATGAAAGGAAATTTACACCAAGCCATTAATGGGGTAGGTGGGGAAGGCTGAGTACTTGGCACGCTCATTTTTTACAAGCAGGCTCTGCAGATCTAATTTAAATAATTAATTAGACGAGAGGGTCAGTATCCATCTCAGAAGGTTGTTGGGCGTGTCCTGGTTCCTGGAACTCAATCAATAGTGGATACCATCCTTAACACAGTCCCTGGGTGGTGCAAACCTTAACAGGCTTGGCCGCTAACCAAAAGATTGGTGGTTCAAGTCCATCCAGAAGCACCTTGGCAGAAAGGCTTGGAGATCTATTTCCAAAAAATCAGCCACTGAAAACCCTATGGAGGACAGTTCTACTCTGACACACACGGGGTCACCATGAGTCAGACTCAACTTGATGGCAAATGGTTTTACCATTATTGGTATGTTTATTGGTATCCGGTTTCCCTGCTTTCTTAACTGTAAGATCCTGGACAAGTTACTAGGCCTCTCAGAGCCTCAATTTCCTCATCTGTAAAATGGGGAGAGTAACAGGACATACAGCACAACAATGGACTCAAGCATACCATATGATGATGCTGATCATCCCCATGCTGTGCTTTGCTGCTGCAGTGCCCTCAGGGTTACAGAAATGTGCAGGCTGTTTGCTCCTACACCAATGCATGAGCTTCATGCTTGCTATTCCAGCTGTCCAGCCTGCTGCTTCCTTCCACACCCAAGGTGGATGAGTGTGTGCCTTCTGGGTAAGTGAGGCGCCGTGGTACAAAAGGACCAGGATCCCCCTGCCCGCCCCCCAGCGCACCCACCCTGGGCGGAGGGCCCTACGTACTCTCCACACTCCACGGGACCTGGTGCGTCTCCACTTGCAGACTCTGGTTCATGGCCTCCAGGACCACCGCGAGCTTGCATCTCTGGCTGGCAGCCGTCAAAGCGATCTCCTCCACTTCCAGCTGGAGTGACGTCAGCTTCTCTGAGGGCAAGAGAGGGTAGTGAGGCAACCCAGGGGTGGGCACACAGAGCACGCCTTGGGGACCTGCGGCCAGCCAGCTTCCTCTAAGAGGCTGGGCCTGGCTTGTCCTTCAGGTAGCAAGGCCTGGGACACACATTCTTGGTCCCCAGCTCCCCCACAGCCTCAAGCAGACGTGCCTGCCAGCTCCCCAGGAGACCTCCATCCACACAGGAAGCAGGAGCAGTGAGGCGTGAGGCTGTGTGCAGCAGGAAGAACGCTGGCCCAGAAGACAGGCCCGGGTTCTGGTCATAGCTCTGACGCCCTCGGTCATGGGCAGTTGGGCAGGAATTCCACCTCCGCAGCCTCAGCCCCTTCTCTGGGGAGTGGGAAAGGTGGTCCCTTCCTCTAGGAACTGCTGTAGGGGTTGGAGGAGGGAATCCCCAGGCCCCAAACACATGCACACTCAGTACGGTACCGAGGTCCATCCTCATGATGCAATCCAGCCTCAAGAAGTGACAGAGTGTTGGGTGTGAGCTGTAGGCCAGGAATCACTTCCAGGGAGGAGAACTGGGAAGGTTCTTGGAGGAGGTGAAGAGAAGGAGGTGAGGAGGAGGGAGAGGTAAGGAGAGGAGATAGGATGAGAAGGTGAGACAGGAGGAAGTGAAGAAGAGGAGGTGAGAAGGAAAAAGAGATGAGGCAGAAAGTGAGAAGGAGG